TGTATATATAATCTGATACAACGCATAAAATTGCTTACTCACACAAAGCACAAATGTTTGAGAGCATGTGTTTACACAGGCAGATTCAGACTTGCGCCAAAATACACAATTTTCACATTCGACCAAAATTTATTCGGCTCGAGGATTCGAAATGCATAAATTCACCAATGAAATGCCAATAAATAAATTAAATGAATGGCTACCGAACAAAAGAGGATGAGCGACTGCTCTGAAAGGAAGAAAGAATGATGGAACTACTGGCAAACTTTCATACCGATTTGATTTTGTTCCTTAAAATTATATTTTTAACTAATAGTAAAAATCTTTTGGAGCAAATTTATTCTTTTGCGATTTTATTAAGTTCTGAATAGTAAATAATTCGTAATCTTAATGAAATGGTATCATTTCATCACCTTACACTTAAATATGTACATACTTCTTAAATTTTTAGTCAGCAAATAAAATATGGCATCTAACTAGCAAATATTATATACAGGAGAGCTCTTCTGAAATCAAATAAATGTTTTCTCAGTATCGAAGCACACAACGTTACTCGGGCCACAGCAACAATTGTAATATTTGTACGCATTTCCGACTTGCCATCGATGCTGTGCTATCAGTAGTCCAACAGTGAGGCGAGAAGCGAGCTATCGAATCACTTAAGTGTGTAATTGTATATTTATTTGCCTTGTTTGACAAACGATCAACTTCGGTAATCATTCGCAGCGGTTCAGTTGAGCAGACGGACGCTATAATTGTCACCAGCTCGTTGTTTACAGTTGAGAAAGCTAGGGCTTATGCTACAACTGATTGGCTGATGGCTGACGGCTAAGGACGGATTGCTATCAAACCATTTCATATATTTAAATATGTATGTACATTTCTGTTTCATTTCATACCCTGCAACAGTATGTACACTGGTTAAATCAACTTTGTTTCAAAGTCACAGCTACATTTTTACTGAAAATATTTTTTAAAAGAATTTTCGTAGGTATGTAAAACCGGCTTTTTTTTAACAGTGTGGGCTAATTTAGGTATAGGCATACTCTCGCTTTGGTTTTGTATTCAAAAAGAATTTAAAAAAATCATATTTTTTCCGAAGAAGCTGGAATAAAAGTTGGGGCTTAAAGCAAGAAAACAACAAATAATTCAACTGAGTAGAGGACTTAAAGATTTCAGTTAACCGGCTTGCAAAATAAATATAATGGTAGCGCTGTTGCAAAATAGAGGTGGTTAGATACTTTATTTAAATGCCGGGTTTTCTAAATTTCTCCATAGCGGCACAATTTCGCTCTAACTAAAATTAATTTGGGGGTCATAGCAGTAGGGTCCTAATTGCCACGGTACTTTCTTTTTCAAAATATTTTATTGTCATACAATTAGATACAGCTATGGCAATACATGTATAGTTTACGATTTTAGTATTTATTTAAAATTGTATAGGTTTTAGAGTTTTATCTTTTACCTCTACTTGAAAATATCTTTCGAACCGAAAATCCTCATTTGGTCTTTATATTCCAAATTAAGTGCAATACGGGAATTAAAAAAAGTTTGCTTTGAATATATATATATATTATATTTATATATGCATATTTACATTTAATTCATGTATAACCATATATTTCTATATTGAATTTATACACAACCCTGACAAACGGCTCTTTTCCTACTGCAGCATACGCTCTTTATACTTTGCCCCTTTTAGTCGTCTTGAAATGTGAGCAAAACAAGTTGGTAATTTATTTAATGCCACTCGCTTGTACTCCATTCGAAACATCTATTAGTGAAACATATTGTCCATATACCATCGTACACATGCTATTCACATATGCACCTATATCTACATATACATCGTACAAGTATGTAGATATGTTAGCACATGTGAAATTACTCGTATATTGTTGCGTTATCGAATTGTAGCAATACAATATGAGACTTAGTCGACATTGCATACATAAATATGAATAAACATACATATATCTATATATTTACATATATAAAGATGCATGTGTTTGCAAATTTGTGACCATGCAAATAAAGCACGGTTGGAGGTGGATAAGACTTATGTTGACAGCGGCAGAATTAGAAGCGACTTTTGTTGTAGTCGCAGCTACTGTGCCTGCTTCTTATTTACAGCCACAACGGTAGCTATGTATTCCAAGTCTAATATATTGTAGTTGTTTCATCTATTAATTTTATTAGGTATGTATTCTGATCCATAAATTGTCAGGAAGTCGCACAATTACAACCAAAAGTAAAATCAGACCAGTTTTTTATATAAAAATAAAAATCAAAAGTTCAATTTCAAGTCTATAAAATATTTTTTTTTTATGTTAACCGCGTAAAGCACTGCGCAAATGTTGCTATTAGAGAGGAATTTTTTTTAAATAAATTTTTGAATGAGAGTTTCCAAAGCAAATGCAAATTTATGGCCGAACTTTTGCTAAAGGCTACAGTAATAAAAAGATTCTTATAATTTGTAAAACGTTTAAACATTAGGAATATAATAAATCTTGTTTTTTGGAACGCCTGCAAATTTCCTATATATTAATATATATATGAAAAAAAAGAAAACATTATAGTTTGGTAGAGGGGACCATAAGAAAAGTTTATTCAAAAACATTTGATATGTCATTAAATATTATAATGAAAAATAATTTAAGTTACGTTTTTTTAAGTTTATCCAAAAAAAAAATTTAACCCCAAAATTTACATTTAGCCTTTAGTCGGAGAAGCAATGTTAGATATAAGGCCATGTGATTACTAGGGACATTAAATTTTTTATATATCTACATTTTTTTACATCAATGCCTTTTTAAATACTTTTTCCCTTTAAATGATAAAACTTAAATTAAATTTTTCATCTTATTAAATATTTTGATTAAATAAATTTCAATAATAAGTTTAATATAAAACCTGAATATTATATTTGTATTTATTTAAGTTATATTTTTTGCAATTGATGTGATTTATTTGTCTCGATGTTGATTAATGGTAACACGGTTTATACTCCAGAATTCACAAAAATAGGTTAATTTAAAAAAACTGTTTTTACTCTCTCCCTTCAAGGAGGAACAAAACTCGCTGCCCTCTTAGCTCTATGGGTCGACAATTTATATTTTTCTTCTTGTCTTATACAGTCGTATTTAAAAGTATGAAACAAAAGTATCTTAATATCGGAATTTTTTTTTATTAATAATTTTTATTGTGCCAGTCAACTACCACCGTAAGCGGGCAAGATAAACAGCTGTAGCGGTGTTTTAAAAATCACAACATTTTATTTCAGAGTTTTGGTTTTTATTTAAATTATGCTTAGCTTTATGTAAAACAAATAGCCATTCATGACGCACATATCACAGGATTAGCAAATTAGTTAATAAGAGTCAGAGGAGATAAGCATCGAGAAAGCAGTTCAGATGATTTGGTATAAAACAAAATACCTTGTTCAAGACATTTAGCGCAAATTGAATATTGAACACACAAATACATACTATACAAGACGTTTATATTTCCATTTACCTTTAATATGCACACCTGACGCCTAACACGCGCTGTTGTTTGAACAGGCTACACAAAGTGACGACCATTATTTATGAGTGAATACATGAATACATCCGTATATACAAGTTATAAATAAGTGTGTATATTGTCTGTCGAGGTCGGTGGAACGATGGCCACTGCTGCGGTTGTTACTAAAGTTTTTAATTTGCCAAGCTTCTTCTTCACCAAATTCTACTTCTGATAGATGAAATGCGTGGAAATTTCTGGTGCAAAAATATACCTCCCCGCTAATTTTCTTTACCTAATGCTACTCGCTGACGAGAAGATGCGTTTCTCCGCCTCTCATATTTACTCATCTTCAATTTTATGCAGCAACTACCATGTCGAACTCACTTAAGTATATACTTATGCATAAATACTTAGATGAATGCACAAGCATCTATATGTACTTAAATATGTAAATATGTATGTAATTTGCGCAGCCATGCGAAGTTTGGTGCGTCAGTTGCGTTTTATAGCCGACAACCAAGACATTATGATTTGCAAGGTGGTTGAGACACTTTAGCCGCACTTACCTGCGTTTATGTAGTTAATGTTTTATTTAAAAACGTCGAGTTTGCATTGCACTAAATTCAACAAAGCAAGGACCTCGTCGAAATCTACCTATTAGGTTTCTCCTAAAAATAAACATAGAATCGTAAAATAAGCAACCATGAAGTCAAAATTTTTTTGTTGAGTAATTATGCCCATTGCTCAAGCAAAACTAATCTGAAAAAGTATTAAATCACCACGATGCTTCAGTAAAATGCATTAAAAAATATGAATGTGAATTAAAATGGAATATGAATTAAAATGGTATTAAAAATTCAGTGACATACATTTAAGATAAAGCTCGACAAACCATATGTACAACCTTTTTCCTTTCCTCTTTAATTTTGCTGGTATCACGTACGATCTTTCCTTTAATACCGAACATAATATTTCTCCATTTTTTCATATTTTTGACATGTAGATGTAATGTAAGAATAATTTAATTTCTTTTTTATTTAATTTTAGTAATTAGATTACTTTCTCTCTAACCGACTTACTTCGCAAATAAATAATTCAACTTTGTTTTTAGGCTCCCTTTATTGTTATAGTATATATAGCATCTCTATATCATTTTTTTGGTTGATATAAAAAATAAACTTATTGAAATGATTTAGTTTCGTTTCGGCGTCATTTTTTTTATTGTTGAAGCCACATAAACTAATCGTTATCGGTTAACAATTTAACATTAACGACTGCTTTCCGTTTCGGGTGAAAACAGTAAGAAATGTTTCAACCGAATCAATAGAAATTTTTCGATTAACGTCAAGGTTATCGTTACGATGCTGCCCTCGTTTTTTACTATTAAGAATATACGTAAGACTTAACTCTTCTATCTAGTTATTGCTGAAAAAAAATATTTATTTATGATTTAGACAATTTTCAACAGTATTTATTTCTCTTCTTTCCAGGTAAGAGATACTCAGAATCTCTTGCGGGCTCGCTTCTTCCAGATTGGCTAGGTAAGTACAAAAAATCGTTCAAAACGAGTTCAAATTTTTGATTTTTAAAAACCCCGTTTATTATTATTTTGTATTAATTATATTTTGCAAGTCATATTTTTATTAAAGACAACCAACTACATATAAAATATCCATTAAGCTTAAATAATTTTTTCCTTATAATATTTCTTAATTTTTTTAAGTAAAACAAAAGAAAAGATCCAAAAAAATATCCAAATTTTGTTGAAAATTTTTGTGCGTATTGAACAGTAATTTTTGAAAACAATTTTAAAATTTGATTTTTGCAAATTGGTATATAAAACGTTGCTGAGTAGTCGAAATTATTATTTAGAATTTAAGAAATTGGCTTGTTAAAAGTTAACGTATGCAACCGTTACTCCTTACACATGAAATCGCTCTGACACCCATTGGAACACACTCCTGACACTTTCACCAACACATGCTCAGAACCACAAATACATATATAGATAGTACTATATGTTAAATAAAAAGGCGTGTTTTTTGTATTTTTAGTACACCACCAAATAAATAAATACACTCACACAGACACCCACATACACACAGGCCACTTGATATTACCAACTCTTCAACTGTTAATTCAATAATACAAAATTAATATAGCATTTTAAAAATCAGCTTTTTGAATTTTGGGTTAATTAGAGAATGCGTGTTTAGTTTTCCTCTCTGAAGTGAATATTTATTTTTTAAATGAAAAGTCAAGATCAACGCCGAAGAAGCATAATTATTTGATGTGGCTGTTAAAAGCTACTGGGCAGACAAAGCAGAAGGTAACATTTCACATAAATATATCTAGATGTTGTATCCAAAAACGTTCATGCAATCCTTATCGTAAAATATTAAGTTATCAAAATATGGAATATTGTCGCCAAAATAGTTCCCCAGCAATGAAAATGCTGTATATATGTATGTATGTGCATTTTTATTTGTATTTGCTAATTCATATATTTAAATATCCATAAATATATATATAGTTTCACCAGCCCAATAATACATATATTGCATGTGCATGAGATAACGAACGATAGTGTCGCAGATAAAATGTTTTATCATACAAAAAAATTTATTAATTAATTAATAAGACTTCCATTGTAAGTTTAAAGTTTAACGAGTATAGCGAAATACCACGCAACACTTTGTTATACATTAAATAATTTAATTGACAACCTAATAAAACATGTGCAAATATTTTGTTAAATAATTTAGGTTGAATAAAACCGTATTAAAGTCAAATAAACAAATGCGAAAGTTAACTTTTTTGCATGATATGACTTAATTATTATTGCAAATGTATTGTGATCACGCAACAGTGGTGGTGAGAATATAAAGAATATAATAGCTATATTATGTATTATATAATGCGATGAAAAAATGCATAATAGAGTTGGTAGTTAATTAATGCACTACGTTCACTTCATACCAGCATATAATGCTTGTATTAAAAATGTGCGATATGACATTGGATTCTTCATATCTACTTGATTATTTTTTCCTTTTAATAAATAAAATTGCTAAAATTATAGTCGGGTCTTAATTAGAATTAAGAAGCCTTATTGCACTTAAATATTTCTGAATAACCGTTATTTAAAAGATATGACACCAGGCAGAACTAAAAATTTCCCCAAAATTTCAAATTTTTTGCAATTCAATGGCACTGCCTTTTTACTGTCGGCTCCAAACAAAACGACGGAGTCGCATTTGCAGTAAGCGACGACAACGGCGCTATCAGATCCCACGGTTTTCTCCCACATTATGCAAATATATTTGATGTTATGCTACAAAGATTGATTTTGGCAATTAAAATAACCAATAAATCAAGCAAAGCTACACAAAAATACAATTCAAACAATTCAAAGCATAATGATAAACAAGTCATCAAAGATAAAACTGATGTGGGTATTCCTGGCAATGAACATGCCGACGCTGCATTCAAACTTGCTCTAAAATCATGCTTCTACTATTTTATGTCTTTTGGACCCAAACCTTTAAAACATATTTCTTCAATCGCCGTTATCCGAAATACACAAACGATTGGTTAGCATACTAACATCAATACAAACAAATAAACCCTGATGAAACTGCAATAAAACTTCCTATTAGTACATCAACAATGGCCAATAGTTGTTTCATACGCCTAAGACTTGGTCACACTTAGCTCATCCACGCTCATCTCCTGCTATCAACTCCACAGCCAACGTGCCAGTCTTGCAGTAACTCAAACCTAACAGTTAACCACATATTACTGAGCTGTCCAGCTCTCTCCAATCTAAGGAACCAAATTTTTGGTAACCGTAATTCACTACAATCTATCCCTCCGAAGTTAACATGAAACCAATTTCAACATTTTTAAAAGAAACAAATTCTACCACTTTATTTATATAATTGTTAATATTTACCATCTTTTGTTTTACTATATGCCTGATAGGCCTGGTAGCTTGTGCAAATATAATTGTTTTGTAATTTTAATTAAATTTAACCGTAAAATTAATAATAATAATTTTATTTCACCGAAAATGCATAAGAAAATATTTTGAATATATTTTATGTTCCTGTTTAGTATTTTTTACAGTAAAAGAAAACTATTTCGATATATTTTTGAAGAGACCTAATATCTTATGACAACAATAAATAATTTTTTCAACAATCGTTGTCGCCTTCAAAATGTTTGAGTCGCGATCCTGTTCAGACAAGAAACACCTCCTCTTTTATACCAACGATTCATTTGTTTCAAATTTGCATACGAAAGTCAGAAAATAAATTAGAATAAGTGGTGAGAAGCCACCATTTCCGTGAGCATTTTTGTGCTACTTTGGCGGTTAGAGCTAACTTGCAACACTATTCACATTTTTTAGTAGCATAAAGAAAAAAAGGAAATTGTTCTTAATCACAAAATATAAATAGCATACATTCATAGCTTATCATTCCCCGCAGGGAATGTGACTAACGATTTTTCTATAATGCTGAATAATGAGTCACTTCTTTAGCACTTAGACATCAGTCAATAATAATAATAAATAAATAATAGTAATAGTTTTATTAAAATATAAAAAAGAGAATGGTAAATTTTAAAAATTGGCACTAGAGCCTAAACGGCGTGATTGGAAGCGGTAGATATATATCATGTTTGCTTTAATCAAGCACATTTGCTTCGAGACGAGTTTTTCTGGAGTTGTATCGATTTTCTTAGCTGTAGAAGTACAAAGTAGAAGTGACTCATATTTGTATTATAAGTTTGAAAATGAAAATTATAATGACTCAAAAAATGAAAATAATTAAAGTATAAAGCTTATGAAACTTAAAAATAATGTATAACAGCAAAATATCAAAAGGTAGATTCTCACAATTGTCATTTAACAGGCGAAATTGTACATTACCAGTAGACAGAACTGTGGTTGTTACGCATTACCAAGGGACAGCTAAGTAAACAGTAGAATAATTTCTACCGACATTGCTATAGATCTTGGATCAATTGGCTACTAGCAGTATCGCAGTAGTTTTTTTTAGTAAGAAACTTTTCTTTTTTAAATTGAATATGAAATATGTGTTTATATACTTTAGTTTTGTCTTAACCAATTACTTAAGTATCAGAATATAAATACCAATTTATGCTTGTACTTGAGTTCCGGTAACTGTGAATGTTATTTATCATCTTGTTTGCTGTTTATTTTCAATGACAGCATCACAATATTCTCAATTGCAATTACCTAAAAACCATTTATTACAGCTCCAGCATATATGGATGCCCCTTCCCAAATGAGTCCAGACAGACATAATCATACATATGAGCTCGTATACAAGTGTATGTACATATTTATTATCAAACGCAAGTAGCTACTGATGTCAGACAATATTTCTTCAATTCATTTTCGAAGGGATGCTCTTCTATGACTTGCTAAATGGGCTGGTTTATCACCATCGCCCAGAACACTATAATCAATAAATGAAATAAAAAGCCTGCTATTGTTACCACGAAGCTTTGAGCGATGGTGGCATAAAAAATAATTCTGCTGGTAGTTTTTGGCAAAAATGAGAAACGTAATATCCATTAGAAAATTAATAAGGGAAATAAATGCGGTTTCCAAAAACCAAACATTCACCCCCACATTTGTGGTAACTTCATAATATATAGAAATCAATTTATTTATTTTTGCGAAAAATGTTCATCGAGGAGAAGAATCGATTCTAAAATGGCTAACGATAAGTGCACATAAAACACTCAGCTGAAATAAAATGAAAGGAAGTAAAGTTTTTATATTAGCTGTTTTTGTTAAAATATTTACCGTTAACGCCCAATTATATGATTTGTCTGTTACCAAAGAAATAGTAAAACTGAAAATATTATTATTTCCCTTATATAGTTATATGGGGTGTATTTGTTAGTGTTTGGAAAATCTGAAAATTTTTAAGTTATTACAATCGCCTCGTCTAAAAAGTAATACCCCGTATTCATATGCTCACCTAAGTTGTATGTTATAAGAAAATGTTAAGTTTCGAAAAATTCGAAAAATAATAGGAAATTTATTTCAGTATAGAGTTAGAAAGTAATAAATCGGTTTAAACTGTAAAATATTTTTAGTTAATATTTGAGGTGTTGGAGCAAAAAGTACAACATAAAATCGCAGAATTGTGCATCAACTTTAGTATTCGTAGTTATACAATAGTAGAAAAAATGGAAGAAAGCAATCCTTGTAACTGAATTTTTTAATTTTTAATATATATTTTTCTGAGGTTATCGAATAAAATAGAGCTGCTCAACTAACGAAACGATATAATTATGTTTCGTTAATATAAAAAATGAACTAACCGAAATAATTTTATTTCGTTTCGATGCAATGGTACCAAAACGAAATGAAATCGTTTACTTTGAAAACACACAAACTTATAGTTAACGTAAATTTTAAAATGCCTGCTTGCTATCATATTAAATACGAAATAAAATTATATAGAATACTTAATCCAAAACTCTATTAGACAAGAAGATC